TTATCCAGTGTGGCCCCATCTTTCTTCGAATATTCTAATCTGATCTCTCGAGCAGTCTGGGGTGACAGCCGCCCTAGTGCCCATCACTCTGTAAGGGTCCCCATGAGTGTGTGTGTGGTCTGTGCGTTAAGGGAAGTTGGGTGGGAAGGCAGCCAGCAACTTTCAACTCGCAATTTTTAAATATAGAGAGGCTGGGGATGTGAGAGCCAGAGGCACTCTTGAAAAACACAAATGTTTTTCAAAAGTTTAATCTGAAGCAAAATGCACCCCTCAAAAAAAAAAAGAATCCCATGTGAGCCAAGGAAGTGCCACTTTAGCTAACTGACAAAGTCAAAGCAGAGAAGCAAATTTTTGCAAAATTGGAAAATAGTCTAAGTTAAAATAACCAGAGATGCTGACAAACCAGAGATTCAGGCAGATCTAAATTAGAAATTGGCTGAGGGGAGGGAAAAAATTAAAAAAGCAATAAGGCCCCTAATGGAGTCCAGTGAGAATTCTTTAAATTTGTGGGCCTAATGGACCAGGGATGTGAAAAGGGCCTTGGGGATGAATATGTGCTCGCCAAGTGAGGTGTGCCTCAGCTCTGCTCACTAGAAGCAGATGTGAGGTTTGGGGCTGGTAAGCCAGTGGGGACAGGATGCCTGTTTTACCTCAGCCTTAGGTGGATCCTTTTCCTGCTCCTTAGAGTTGTTCTCCCCCATCCCCTGTCTTTCTGGACCCTCTGCTCGCCCTGTGAGCCTACGCAGATCTCCACCCACCGCGCTTCACCCCATGGGTCAGGGTCCTTAGGAGAAAAGGACTCCTGGCCGTGCTGCTGTCACGTACAGCAACTGCTGCTATTGACTTGGTGTCTGGAGGAGGACAGAGTCATTTCCAACTTGGTCTGAAGGTAGTCTTCCCACAGATCACCCATGGCCTGATGCTGTCTTCTCATTTGTCTCAGCCTTTGTCTCCAAAACCTTAAAATCCTAATCCGATAGCTATTTCTGTAGCTATTTCTGTGGTGTGGCACTTGAAGCTCAGATAAAGTTACACGAATATTTAGAATCAGAGAAGTCAGAGGAGGTGGAGACCTTGGAGATCAGCCACTCCAATGGCTGCACTTGGCTTTGTTCTTGTGTCTGTCTTGTAAAGCAATGGCCCTGCAGGTGGGAAGGAAAGATAGCAAGAGGACAGCAAACACCATATTTTTCCTCCCAAGACGAAGAACACCACCAAAGGGATTTTTATTAAATCTGGGAAAAGAAAAGCTACAGTACTATCATAATTGGATCCTATTTCATCTATTGTCAGCCTTGAGGAGTGGCAAGCCCTCTGTTCTGCTGAGGTCACCAACACCCCACCAGATGGGCACACTGGACGAAGTGCCCAGGGGCTGGGGCCACAGCTTTCGTCCCCGAGCATCAGAGCAGCCTCGGGGTGCCCCAGCTCCTCTCCCACTGCCCAGAAGGCCTGGAGGGAAGCACAAGTGAGGAAGTGTGTGTGTGTGGGGCCTTTATACACTGTGACGGTCATCCAGGTGGCGGTGGGGGGCATGGTTGTCTAGCCTGCTGGGCTCTCCCCTCACCTCACCCCCGCAGGTAACACCAGCTCTTCCAACCCTCCTGACACCTGTGTTAAGTGGCGCTTGCCACGGCCAGCGAGGCCCAGCCTTCTCAGTCCCTTCTTTCTGCAGATGACCTGTACAGTGTTTATTCTCTTTAATATGGACTTGTTTTGATGTAGACAAATTTGAAAGCTGTGGGTTTTCAGTGTTTGTCCCTGGCATCGTAGTTCAGTGAGAATCTGCTCAGCACCACTTGGAGTGCTGTCTCTCCCAGTGCCCAGGTGCCCTCATGCCCTGCACCGACCGAGAGGGGCTCAGCATCTTTTTCTGCCGATGAGCAACTCCTGGCCAGATCGCAGCATTATGGAAAACACCCATGTTGTATCGTGAAAACTACAACTCTGGGCATCATGTAACTACATGCCACTCGGGTGACACTTGATTTTGGAAAAGCTCTGTAACCGTATTTGGAACTTTGAGAGTCTTAAAGTGCCATGGCCACCTGGCAAACCCCGAGCTCCAGCCTCCTCAGCGCATCAGGCTCACTGTGCCCTCCCGCCACCTTGCTGCTAACTCCCCTCTGCGAGCAAGTCAGCACCATGTTAGCTGAAGCCTGGTCTTGGTTTTAGTGGTCTTTGCTGTCGGCGGGTATTAAAGAGGTATTCAGAACCCCCCTCCCACATCAATGGCGTCTTTTCTAATTAGTTTTGCTAATTAACTTTCTAGGTATGGATATACTTTTGGAACAAAGCATAACTCCAAGCGAGGAACCAAGTATGTTCTCTGGGATTAGCTCCTTGGAGGTGTGGATGGAAGGGCTTAGGAAGGCTCTGATGGCGCTGCTCTGTTGTCCTGGTGTGCGCGTGCATGCGTGTGGTTTCCTCGGCTAGGTCCCCACTACCCACAGCAGGGTGGACGTTCTTCGGGAGCAGATCGGCCCTTGAAGTATGGCCTTTCTTATCATTCGGTCTCCTTTTCTAACTGATGTACCCCAGCCTGAAAAATTCCGACTTAAACAGTAGTTCTGTACAATTACATCCTTCATCACCCGCATTCGAAATCCTAACGGTGTCCATTCTCTTTGGAGCAGGAGGCCTGCCTATGCCCGGACTGCGACATCTATGTCCCTATGCGGCCATTGTTGTGATGAAGCCAGTGAAATCTTCACCGGCTCCTTCCTTTCCACTTGTGTTAAGCTTATCCACGCCCCTCTGGTCTTATTTCCTGAACGCTGCATTCGATGGGTGGGCAGGCAGGAAGTGCTAAAAAGGGCCCTGCCTTCCTACCACCTTTCCCTTCCCCTGTGGGGAAGAGGAGTGCTGGGCACACAGGAAGTTACATGCGTGGGCTTAGCAGACACACCTGCTCCGACTCGTCTGTTAATTACCAGCTGTGGGGCCTTAGGCAAATAACTCAGCCCCTCTGTGCCCATTCCTTCAGTGAAATGAGGTAGCCAGAAAGATTAAATGAGGTGTTTGTATGGTGCTTCTCCCAGTGCCTGGAGCACAGAGTGCTCAGTAAATGAAGCCATCGTTACTAGCTATCCGGGTCAAATCAGTTTACCTCCAGCCTGCATCTCCCCTCCCATATCCTTGGGTCTTTTCAATGATCTGTGTTCTCTCCTGTGTTTTCAACTTTCTTTCCCTTGCATAGAAACGTATTTGGCTCACCTGTTTTAAAAAGTCCTCCCCTAGACCTGGGATCTTTTCTGGTTCCATCCTCAATCCCTTATCCTCCCCACCCCGGTTCCTTTCCACGTCTCTTCATTCCTCTGCCTGCCGCACCTTGGCAGCTGCCCCCCCAGTCCAGTAACCTGACGCTTGCCAAGGTCACCAGTGTTTTCCCACCTAGCTGCGACAGACCGCAGTCTTCAGTGGACATTCTCCCCCAGCCATGTTCTGGCCCCCTCTCCAGCACTCTCCCAAGGGCTGAGTGCACGGTCCTTCAGACTGGAACGAGGCCCCCAGCCCAAGGCGCAAGTCAGACCAGGACACGTGACCAGTGAAAGTGTTTAATAGTTAAATTATTTAAATAGACTTTTCAATTTCCATGGGAAATCATAATCGTATCCATTTTTGCAAGAGCAGGAATAAAAAGAGTGCACACCCCTTAGAGGGAGTGAAGAGCTAGCACTGCACGTTGTCACCAGTCACTGCTGGGAGGGGGGAGGGGCCCCCGCGAGGCTGGCGGGGTCATGATGGGGAACATGGGAGGAACTCCGCACACACACTGTTACTCAGGTTGGAAACAAACGAAAATCCAGCACCGCTGGTGGGTGATGGGGAGGGGCAGGGGACCGGAGAACAACATGAGAAAGCCAGCCCCCCGGCGATGGGCCAGAGGGCCGATGCGGAACTCAAAGGATGGAGCAGCAAAAGCGCCGACAGACTCAGGCAGTTTTAGGTCCATAAGCTTTGCTTCTCAGAGCTGTGTTCAAATTGGGGTGGGTGATGGTGTGTGGAAAGAGGAGGCTGGTGCCAGTGCCCAGTGAGAGGTGGTACAGGTGGGCCTCAAAGCCACGTTTCAGCAGCTGAGATGTGGCTGCCACCTCACCTCCTTTGAGCTCGTGTTGGAGGTGAAAATAATTCTGCCCTGAGACGCAAAAGATCTGGGCACAGGCCCCAAGGATTCTGTTTGAATATATCTCTATGATAGTATATCATTTTCCAAATGCACCCCTCACAGGGTATAAAAATAGAATTTTTTTACTTCCATGTATTTAACTGTTCCCTCCTCGAAAAACAAAAAAAACAACTAAATTTCTGCTGGCTTTGCCCTGTAGACTCTGAAGCTGGGCCCTACCCTTTCCTCTGTCTGGTTTGCAGGTGGAGGGCAAGGCCGCCCCCTGCCCCCTCCCCCGCCCCCACTCCCTGAACCCAAGGGCTACACATTATGTCCTCAAGCCTGAGGGGTCACCTCTGAGAGAGCCGGACAGGCTTCCTCACACCCCCACGCTGGCCGCGCGCCAAGGGCCATCCCTGAACTCTCTCTGCAGGCAGCAAACGGCCGCCGTCTCAGGGAGTGGAGGGTGAACAGTGGCCACGCTGGCTGCTGCAGGGTGAGGGGGGCTTCCATTCTTCCAACTCAGCCTGAGATGGGAAAGCAGCTTTTTGTTGTCTTTTGATCGTTTTGCATTTTACTTTGGGGATGAGATGTGTGTGTTTGTGTGCTGGAGAGAGAGAGGAATGGGGTCATGTGTCCATGCATCTTCCTACTGAATCTGAACATATGGTACCCCGCAAGGACATGCTCACTGCTCTGGCTGGACCTGGGAAAACCCAAAACTGCCAAATCTGAAGCGAGGAAAACAGGCATCCTGTATGAGACCAGTTCCACAGCATGAACACACACACATACACACACACGCACGCACACACCAGTACACACATCGACGTACATACAGTACAAATGAGCACACACCCTGCTGTGCACAGCTGTGTTCTAATATAGAGAATTTACAAAATATAGAATTTGGTATATTTGTTAGATCTCCAAGGTTTTCAATAATACAAAATAAAAAATACAAAAAAGACAAGTTGGGGCCCCCCGCCCGCCCTCCCCGGTGGCACCCTCAGTTGCTTGTGGGTCTCTTACACGCGTACAACTAGCATAGTCTAAAGAAGGGCACAGAAACTTGTTTTGTTTTATTTAATAAATCTTTTCCTTTTCTCAGAACCACCACTCCTTGCTTTGAGTCCTTGCCTCCCCCTCGCAGTTAGTTCTCTTCCCCTCAAAGGGGCATTGGCTGTGTGTGTGGGTGCTGGAGGGGGGCTGCAATGGAGGCCAGTCCCCGCAAAGTCAGCACTGCTACCGGAACGCCCCCTTCACGGAGCAGGGGCCCGGCCTCTGCCTGAACTTTAAAGGCTCACATAGAGAAGCGGACGCCTCAGGGCCCCTAGGCTCTCCCGAGCCAGAGTCACGCCACCTACCCACCCCCGGACACCGAGGCCTCTCCCTCAGCCCCGCCGTCGAGCGCTGGGCAGCCGCAAACCCATTAATGTGCCAGCAGCTCCCTTCCACCCGCGTATCCACAGCGCCCGTGAGAAAACTCAAGATTCAGGTTGAGTCTGGCGGAGTCTTCTACGGAGGGAAACATCTTTGGTCAGCTTGGTGCTCGCAGGACGCTGGCACCCCGGGGCCTGGGACACAGGCTGCTGCCCGCCCACAAAGGCAGAAGCTGCTTCTGGGGTCAAAGTGGAAAATCTCACCGGCGCGGCCACCTGGGCTGGAGCGCAGGCTTCCACCTGCCCGCCCGGCACACAAAGAAGCCGTTTCCATTTCTCTGGAGGCCAGGCTGCCTGGCATCACTGGCTGGCAGCTGCTAACTGAGCGGGGGCCCTCCGTTGAGGAAGTAGGTCATCATCTCGCCTTTGCCCTTGACCTTGACCACACCCCGGCACTCCAGCTGGTATGTGTTGGCAGCCAGCACCTGGTACATGTCCGTGGTGACCTGAGGAAGCAAAGGAGGAGAGAGGACAGGCCATCGATGACCTAAGCGGTGAATCTGCCTTTGGGCAGAGCTGCCTGACTGCCCCTGAGAGAAGGGTGGGTGCCATCTCCCTGGCTGCGGCTCTCGGAGTGGACAACTGCTCGTCCATGGAACTGCCTCTTCGTGATGAGAAGGATGACAGCACCTACTCTGCGCCAGGTGGTGTGGAGAGCACCTCACATGTGCTATTTCAGGGTCACTCAAAGTGCAGCTGCTTGCCATCATCCATAACGAGAGAAGCGCAGAGGCTGAGAGGAAGTACATGGGAGCTCTTGACGAAGCCCGTGACCAAGGTCTCACTCCATGACAGATCAGAAATATTTTTGGAAAGTGGTTTTTCACCACAGAACGTTTGAGAACCACTGCTTATCTAATCTATGAGGTAAGTACTATTATCTTGGCTCAAAACGCTTAAGTCACTTGTTTGAGGTTACACAGCTTAGAACTGGCAGAGCCGGATTCAGTGCCATAGCGTAATGCCCATCTCTCCTTCAGCCTTTGGAACAAAGAGAACTCACAGGTGGCTTCAGTGATTACACTTCTGCAGGACGATAGAGCAGGAGTATGGACCACTGCCTCACAAGGTGATCCGAGAGCCATTTCTGAGTATCGCCAGCACTCCTCTGCCAGCCACCAAACAACACACCTACTCTGTGTCCTGGCCCAGCCTGGCTACCAGGCCAGGGAGGAAGGGGTCAGGGATCTCTGGATGGGCTGCTGGGAGGTGGCCCTGCTGGGTTATGAAGTGTATTCCGTGAATGGTAAGGCCCTACGCACAGGGAGGCTCTGGGCTATTGTGTGGTTGCTGGCAGAGTCCCTCACACCTGTCTTAGGTGAGGTTAGAAGCTCTGCAACCACATATGCCTCACTCCTCAGCTCCCCTCAGGACCCCCAGTTCCCATCTTGCTGTCCCTTCTCCCCTTGGCACAGGGATGGAGGTGAGGCCCCTCAGACAGCACCCACAAGCCAGCCGGGCAGGGTTGGTCTGGCCAGGGCCATGCTGAGGGCCAACCCCGTTGTTCAGGGGCCCCACAGGAGAGACAAGTTTGACATTTGAGCGGTGTCAGTGTGAACAAAGGGTCATAAAAAGAGCTCAGTTAGCACCTGGGAAAACGGAGGCCGGGGAAGCTAAGTGACCTGCTCACAGCCTCGCAGGGAACTGGGGGTATGTGGGGTGCAGGACTAGAGCCCAGTCCAGGGCCTCTCTGTTGTCAGATTAGAGCAGAAAATGAAGGAAGGCCTAAGAAAAAACAAGAAAAGCAGCTGAAGTGTGGCAGGCCTGGGAAGCACAAACATCAGCTTGCAAAGGATGGAGGAGTAGAAAAAGTCTCTGGGCGTCTGGCCAGGCTCCTTGGCTGGTGGGGCTGCTGGATGGAGGCACCATCCCGGGGACCAGCGTCCTTGTCTGGTTCTCCTGAACCAGGCCCTGAGCGCTGTGGGCTGCACTGGCAAGACCCTGCTCTCTGTGGCCATCTTTGTGGCCCTGGCCAGACCAACCCTGCCCGGTTGGCTTGTGGGTGCTGTCTGAGGGGCCTCACCTCCATCCCTGTGCCAAGGGGAGAAGGGACAGCAAGATGGGAACTGGGGGTCCTGAGGGGAGCTGAGGAGCGAGGCATATGTGGTTGCAGAGCTTCTAACCTCACCTAAGACAGGTGTGAGGGACTCTGCCAGCAACCACACAATAACCCAGAGCCTCCCTGTGCGTAGGGCCTTACCATTCACGGAATACACTTCATAACCCAGGCAGGGCCACCTCCCAGCAGCCCGTCCAGAGGCCCTGTGGGCCCAGGTTATGGCATTAGCACTCCTGGCTTGGCATGGGCAGCCAGCCACCCTACTATATCCCCCAATACCTTCTGTGGCCAGTAGAGGGCTTTGCGCAGGACTGAAGATCTGTCCAAGGTACTGAGGGCCTGAAACACAGTCGTGTTCTCCAAGCTTCCAAGATATCAGCGCCAACAACCTCATCACCCTCAAATTTGGCTGCGGAAATTCTGACTGGGAACTGTGGGCAGCCTGCCCCAAAGACCACTTAGCATCAGACAGAGGCCCCTGATGTGGGGGAGGTAGGGGGTGGACACTCCTGCACTCACCTGGATGCGGTCAGGCACACCGGTGCTGTCCATGCGGCTGGCCACATTCACCGTGTTGCCCCAGATGTCGTACTGAGGCTTGCGGGCCCCAATCACCCCAGCCACCACGGGGCCAATATTGAGCCCTGCAGGGAACAAAAGTCAGCATGCTCATCAGGGCTCAGACCCATGCTTCCCTCACTGTCATTCCTCCCTCAACCCACGCAGCTTCTCCCTCTGACTCTTGGCCTGAAGGCACTCAGGGTCCTCCAGCCCTGAGGCTGTGCTTCACCCTGCAGCTCCTACTTCTCTGTTCCTGTCAAATGCTGATAACTCAAGACCACAGGAACATGTTCGCACATCCACTGCTCCTGTGTCCTCTCATCCCAGTCAATGCTCAACTCCGGCAAGGCCATTACCAGAACTGCCCTCTTCAGGGTTTCCAGTGACCGCTGACACCACCCAGTTGCCCGCCCTCTCTCGACGGCATGCTTTCACCATCAATTCAGACTCAGCATACTAGAACTTGCCCTTTTCTTGTTCCTCACGCCTCTCTTTTAGGAGTGCCACCATTCTTGCTCTAGATCCTAGCTCCTAACCCAGCAGTTTCTTCCCTCTCTAAGTAATCCTGCCCCCCAGGTCTCAGAGCCAGGGCAGGGACACTGCAGTGACCACTGGCTCTCCGTCTCGCTCCTCGCACTTCTGCCCTAGTCTGTCCTCCCTTCCCAGTCTTACCCAAGGCAACACAGCAACCTCCCCTCCGAGCCTGCGAAGGCTCAAGTGTCCTCCCTCCTCTCGAGGCAAAATCCTTCCCTGACACCTCTGGCCCAACTGACATTCTCTAGACATTTTCTGCCCTGTCTCCCAGCCCCAGGGTACTCCCTCCTATCACATTAACTGTCTATGTCATGCTGAGCCTTATTAAACCTCATTGTTGCTTAAGTGTTTCTTCTGTGTGACAGGGACAGGCAGAGGCTCCCAAATAGGCCCCTCGGGCTACTTCAGTCAGAAATGTCATCCGTCCTTGGTCCAGCCGGGTGGCTCTTAACAACAATGTTGCCGGTTCGACTCGCGCATGGGATGGTGGGCTGTGCCCCCCCGCCCAACTAGATAGAAAGCGGCTACTGGACTTGGAGCTGAGCTGCACCCTCCACAACTAAGGCTGAATGACAACTTGACTTGGAGCTGATGGGTCCTGGAAAAACACAATGTTCCCCTTCCCCAATTCCCCAACAAAATCTTTAAAAATAAATAAATAAATAAATAAATAAAATGTTACTATTAAAAAAAAAGAAAAAAAATGTCATCAGTCCTCAAAACTCTTCCCTCCATGACCTTCCTCTTTGGTCCTGTCAAGCCACGTGTAGCTTTTTACCCCATGTGCTAGTCCCAGATTGGACAGTCCAACTCACTGGCCAAAGGCCAAGCTCCCCAGTGAAAACGTTTGGAGTCTGGAGGAAGGGCTTTGCCACACAAGACTCCCAACTGCCTGCCTGTCTACCTGTCACTCATCTCAGTTCTGGTCTGATGAAGGAGTGGAGGCAGCTTACAAAAACACAAATCAATGTACGTGGAAAGATGGGATGTGAGGAAAATAAGAATGTCAACATCACAAAACCAAGGGTGAAGTTCACACAGAAATGTAGGCTGTTCATCAGGCGACACAGATGGCTCTGGTTTGGACTTTCTAGCAGCCAGTGCAAAGCGAGAGCCTGGTCAAGTCCACCGGGCATTGGGCTCCCAGGCTAACACAAACAGCTCAAAGGAAAAGCCCAATTCCCGATACTCGGCCAGAACAAAACGTCTCCTGAGGCCATTAATGATCACAATGTTGATGGTTAGTAATCCAATATTTCGGTTCAATGTGTTAATTTTGAGAACTGAAATACCAGTATTTTTGTTAGTTAATTACTCTCGCTTTTTAAAAAAATTTGAAATCTGAATCATTTATGGGTTGAGACATACCCAGGGAGTTAATAATGCATTAAAATTTTGAATAGAAGAAAGGTCTGCTCTTTCAGAAAGCGCTGTTTACCCCACAATCCTCAAGAGGAGGAGGGCAGCAACACTTGACAAAGCGAAGTTTCTACTGCAAAAATCACTCACACTGGAAACCTGGGCATGTGCTCAGGCCAAAATGAACTGCAGAAACACCTTGAACTTAACGGTGCAACCCAGTCAGAGTTATAATTCTGAAATCATTTTGTGGATAGAGTAGGGTGGAGCAAATTTGTGACTATGTCGTTGTACATGGGTTTTTACTGTGCTATTCTTTCAACTCTTCAGTAGAGCTGAAACTTCTCAAAACAAAACGTTGAGGATAAGAAAACAACAAAATTAAATATAAAAAAGGAAAAATAAAATATACAGGTTTTTGGTTCAAAGGTTTTCTGAACAAAGTAGAATATGGCCTGAGATTGACTGAAAAGTGACCCATGGCCTCTTTTCAGAATCCGCCCTCTTCGAAGGCAGCCCCCATCCTGGGACACCACCCTTGGCATCTACAAAGCCCCCTCAAAGCCATCCAACCAGGGGGAGGACCCTTGACAAAGGAGGAGTCCAGGGATGATGCATGGACTTGACTTATTACCACATCCTCACTGTTTCTTTCCCCAGTTTGTATAGATTAGAAAAGCTTCACAGCACCTAGAAGACTGTGCTCACACCACACAGTCACTACTTAGAACTCAGCAATAACCCTGCTGACCCATTGTGTTTTTAAGATTACTCTTTTAAAATGTTGAAATATAATCCTTCATTGTCAATTTTACATGATTCTTTTAATGTTTAAGTTTTTAAAACTACTTCGCTATACTCATTTTATTTTGCGAACAATTTTGTAGAATATATGTTCAGTATTTTTATAAATTTGCAAGTTTAGTGACTTGTACCATATTGATACATGTTGCATTTAAAAATGTAAAAGTATTTCATTTTACTGCTTTTCATTTCTACTGAATGAATTTGGAACACTTTTAAATGAAACACTGTCATTAAATCAGTATTACTTGAAATAAAAGAGGCTGTCATGCCCACAACGCAGCCACCAGACAGCCCTGTGCCGACACAGCATCCCTCACGAAGCCTTTCAGGCAGGGACAGCCTGGGTCCAACCAGGCCTTCCCAACGAGTGGTCGAGGTGGGAACTCAGAAAGAGGGTGTCCGTGCAAGCCACCCACACGGCAAAATGCAGAGGAGGCACTTCCGGGCTCCAGGAGGAGTCTGCAGTGAGTGAGGGGTGCCCACCCCACCCCCTGGAGCAGGGACGCATTGTGACATCAGCCTCTGCTTGGTCAGATACGCATGGGGATGGGGATGGGAGCCCCCACAAGCCCTCAGCACTCCCAGGCTGGCTCACCGATCTTCATCTGGAAGTTGTTGAAGGAGTGCTCATTGATGTACTTCATTTGGTCCATCAGCTTCATGGCGAAGTCGGCCAGAGCTTTGATGTGGGTCTTGCCCACTTTGTCGTAAGTGGAATCATTGAGGCCCGAGGCGGCCATGTAGGTGCTGCCGATGGTCTTGATCTTTTCTAGCTGCCTGAACCGATCCTCGCTGATGATCTGGACAGAAGGAGGCCAAACCTGGGTCACCCTCAAGTCTGGGGCACTGAGGTCTGCAGGAAAGTACAGTAATGTGGCCCCTTGTGTCTCCCCAACTCACACAGTGGACCCGTCTCCATCAACAACTCGGTGCTAAGCCTCGATGCTTCCCAACAGAGCCAGGCCTCCTCCAGCGCTCACTGCTGTGGAATGGCTGTGTGCTCCTGGCCCACCTCACCATACACCAAGAACCCCGGGGACCAGGTCACTAATCGCCTCTGAGTCTAATGCCCCCAATAGGGGCTGGTGGCCATCTCCCGATTCGCTGGCTCACATCTCCATCCTTCCCCAGGAAGCCTCCTCATCCTTATCCAGCGGGACGCCCTTCTCCCATCTCCAGGGCCTGCCGGAAGTCTGCTCAGACCCATTTCAGCCAACTCCAATTAACCCCCTTCCCCGCTGCCTGTGGGCTGTTTCTGACACTGCCCAGTGGCAGCTCCATCATCCCTCTCCTCTCCATGCTCCGTGCCCCAGGCCCTGGATTGACACTAGGGTTGTCCCTCTCATACTCACTGCACAGTGAGCTCCCAGGGCCGAGGTAGCCCTACTGGGCTCAGTATCCCCAGTGCCTGGCACACACAAGCTGCTCAACAACAGTGTGATACGCAAGTGAAGAAATAGCTTTGTTTCTGCCTCCACTGTTCAGGGATTTGCATCTCTGTCCTGCCTCCTCCCTCGGCCTGGGAATTCCTCCTTCCTGTGACTCCACAGCTAGGTCCTAACCTGTCCAGTCCTCGACAGCACGAGAGGAAAGGTGGGTGAGGGGAGTGGTTAGTGAGTCAGCCGGGCAGGGCCTTGCTGGGCAGCTGAGGTGCAGAGATTGCAAATTCAAACAGCCTGGGCTGAAACCCCAGCATGGCCACTTACTGACAGTGACCTGAGGCAAGACACTTCATGTCTGTGGGCCTCAGTTTCCTCATCTGCAACATCAGGATAGGGGAGGGAAGGTATGCGAGGTGTCGGCCTATGACAGTGCCCGGGACACCCCAGTCAGGGCTCCTGACATCACCGTGCACATCCGGGGACGGCGAAAGGGGGCATCAGGTCTCCTCGCGCCCCTCCCGCTCCAGGGACCGAAGCGTCCCCTGCCTCCCACCTCGTCAAAGTCGGCGATGATTTCATTGAGCAGCCGCAGGCACTCGACACCCTCGTTGTTGGCCTCCAGCTCCACATAGAACTCGGAGAAGTTGGCGATGGAGGCGAACATGACGGCCACGCACTCGCACGACTGGTAGTAGAGCTCGTCGTTGCGCCGCTCGCGGGCCAGGAAGTGGGCGGCCACGTCCTTGGGCAGGATGTTGTGCAGCAGCCGCCGGTTGTAGGCCTGCAGCTCCTCCATCTCCTCCTTCTCCTCCGTGGCCTGGGGCAGAGGATCCAGTCAGGGGGAGGGGCACGCTACGCGCTCCTTAGAAAAACAAAGTGCAGTCCGCCCCGAAGCCAGCGCGGGCCCAAGATTTCAACAACGGCCCAGCTTTCTAGCCTCTCTCTGCTGCCTCTGCTTCCAACTTTCTTTCAAGAGCATCTGTTGCTTTGGCCATCAGGAAAGCAGAGATTTGTGTCTAACTCTCTCCCACCTGCCTCTTGGGAAGTGATACCTAGGAGGGTGTTTGCCCTGAAGCAGAGAACCCCTGAGTGGAAACGGGTCCCAGCGGAGAGGCCGAAAGGATCCTGTACCCCTAAGACTAGAGCGAGGCAGTAGGTTAAAGAGATGATCCCAAACCACACCCCAAAGGCCCCCCCAGCTACCCGAGTGCTCCTCAGCATTCTAGTTCTCTCTTCATAGCAGGAAATCATCAGAAAAGCAGCATAAGGGTCACTTTAACAGACTGACCCCGTGGCCATCTCCCTGGGTCCCATGAGAGCAGACTTGCCCCAGGGCCCACGCAGCCAGACAGGGCCCAGAGGTGCAGGTGCCCCGAGGTGCCACCCAGGGCAGGACAGGGACATTACCTTTCACTTTGCTTTTTCCCTGGTTTGGGTTCTGGATCTGGCCAGTTGGGGTTTGTGGTCACTCACCCGCCAGGTTAAAGGGATGATGCAGGGCCCTCGGTTCAAGAGGTCCCACTAATGGCCCACGGGCTGAAGCCCAGAGGTAGGCATGCACCAAGGCACACACGGAGCCCCCTGATCAGAGCGTTCATGGAACACAAGGTATAGAGTGGAGTCTGCTGGCTTCCTCCCCCTTGATGGCAGGAAAAGGATCACTAGCAGGGCCATTTAAAAGATCTAGCCAGACTACTGGGACCTTCCCTAACTAAATGTGGAGGCCTTTCTATCCAACTGCACTACCACCTCCAAAAGGGTCAGGACTACTTCTCAGAGGCCTGGCTCTCTGGTGGGTGGTGGCTGCCTGTGGGGCAGAAGCAGGCATGCCCACCCAAGGCCACAGGACCTGGGTCCAGTGAGGAAGGCAGAAAGCTCAGGGACTCCAAGGCTCAGAGGCTGCGCCTTGCCCTTGAGGTGAGAGGACCCACAGCCTGTCATTCCTGGAGCCATTAGAAACATGGCCGTGAGGGTGGGGGGTCATGCCTGAGGAAGTTCCTGGACCCTCAGATGCCAGGTGGGTCCAGTGGGCATGTGCTCCTGCCCCGGCTTTCCGGCACAGGTGACCTTCACTCCTGTGAAGTGTGACACTTTCACCACTTCCTTCCCCATAAATCAGGGCCACCTGCTCTTAGCTCCGGAGCAGGTGTGCCAGAGGAAGGCGTTTGAAGTGAGAATCCCTGTACTTCTCACAGGCTGTCCCATGGAAAAGCCCCAGCTGGACCACCTGCCTCTGAAAATGCACCAGGCTGCCCACCATCCTGCTCCTGAGGACTGAGGACCCCTCCAGCCCAGCGGGTAGCAGAAATGTGACATGTGCCCTTCCCAGAGAGCATCTGTCCAAAGTGTCAGCCAGAGTGGCAGTGCAGGCTGGGAGGCCAGGACACTGGGAACAAGGTTACTGATGGGAGCAGGGGCCAAGCCCCCAGGCCCTGGCCAGGGGCTACTGCCACATCTGGGGAACTCTGCACCAAGACATGTTGGGCTGCTGCCAAACACAGCCAGGTGCTTCTAGGGTTAGGTTCTGGCCGGGCAGGAAGGCTCAGGGGTCTACAGCCTCTTGCTGGTCCCAATAAAGTCAGTGCTGTGGGAGGGGGAGAAGGGTAGGGTCTCCCTTGAGAACTGAGACCAGTGGCTCGTCCAGGAAGGGGCCTTGCAGGTAAGGGTGTTCCTCGTGCAGGTGCTTCAGGGAAGCTAAGGACCCCAGGCTTCCCTACCTCCCTGTCAGCACCCACCCACCGTGACCATAGATCCAACGGCAAAAAGGGCTGCTGAGCAAGACTAGGGGTGGAACAACAAACTGTCCCTCCGTCATGCCAAGGACCTGCATCTGGGTGTTTGTTCACTGGTATTTACTTGATGTTGTCCCCCCTTCCCAAGGCCTCAGAGCAGGATGGGAGGCGGAGGGACATGGAAGCATCATGAGCCTGTTAAGAGAGCTTCAGGGGAAAGAGGCTGACACAGCCGGCAGGTAGAGGCATGGTCACCCACACACTCACCCGTGGCCACAGGCCTTCTTAATTGTTTTCAAAATGAGAGTGTGTGTGTGGGGTGTGTGTGTGTGTGGGGGGGGGTTCAGCCACTTCTCTTCCTTCCTTCCTTCCCTTGTGCAGAGCCCTCAGAGCCTGAAGAAGGAAAGCGATCAGAGGAAGGGGTGCCGTATGTGGCATGCGCAGCAAGCACGAAGCAGGGTGGTGAAGAGGGGCGGGCATGGTGGGGCAGGGAAGGGGGCTGGAGGGGTTGGGCATTCGGTTCCACTGAGCAAATGAGTAAATATATGAAAGATAATGGGAGCTAGGTTTCTCACTGCCAGAGAGGGTATTAGCAAGCGTGGAAGGGCGAAGACTAGAAAGAAGCCTGAGGTGTTGCCTTAGAAATGGAGGTACTAGTATAAACTCATGGTTTTAAATATCAACAGGGATATACCGGAGTAGTATCCATTCATATGCATGTGTGTATACATACATTTACTTATACTGTCATATACACTCACATATATTTCCTAGCTTTGTCCACAGAGAGGACCTAAAACAGCGAGCCCACTGAGCACCATGATTTTGGTTTCTAAATACCATTGCCCACTAAAAGAAATTGGGGCTCTTTGACGAAATCACTGATTCCTGGGCTGGATCAGGGAAAGCATGTAAGGAGCCCAAGACATCTTCTTATGCCAGAAAGTAAGAAGATGCTCAAAGAATGATGGAGACCTGTCAAAGAACACAGGAGCCAACTTGAAGAAACGCATGAATCCGGGTCAACTGGAACGTTGAAATAACGGGAGGCACAGGTTAAAACCCACTGAATTGCATAGGAATCTGTAAGTCCATGCTGATATAGATAAAGGAATGACTAAATAAGTGGAGAGAAGGAGGTTCTTCCTTACAGGAGAATGCCAATTAACAAATGTGGAAGGAATGATGGACATGTGTCTTCACTACCTGGCAGGCAGGATTCAGCAATAGGTGCTGGAGCTGGTGGGTGGAGGTTTGCGGAGGATCAGAATATTGGTGTTATATCGGAATATCTTTCCACAAAATGCTAACTGAATGCAAAGGGGAAGATGGAGGCCCGACAGTGGAGAAATCTGGCAGACGCCCTCTTGAGTAAGAGACCAAGGTTAAAGTCACTGGGGATGGGACAGGTCAACATAGTGGAGTCCCCAAGGGATGCACTGAGAAGGCACGGCATCGTTTCCACGGTTTTCCTCCAAGAAGGTGTGGCCTCAGTCTGGACGTGGGAAATGTCAACAGACCTAGGCTGAAGGTCACAGAATAAAGACCTCTTTAAGGCTGGCAAGGACTGAAAGAA